ATGTGATGTCTACTAGTGGAGAGGGTGCTGAGTACCTGTGTGTGCCGCCCGACCCGGGCATTAGGACTAGTGCGTCTGCCGCTCCAGGTACTCGCGTGTCTGCTACCCCAGGTGCTGGTGAGGCAGCTGCTCTACGTGCTTGTGCGTCTGCCCCCCCTAGTACTTAGTGGACTGCAGCACTGCACACCTTCACACTGGACTCAGGTGCTTCTTGCTACTTCTTTCGTGACCGCATTGCCCTTGAGCCGCTTGCTCGACCAATTGCGGTCTCCCTCGCTGACCCCTCTGGGGGTCCGGTCATTGCGACCTCCTCCACTGTCCTCCCCTGTCCTGCGGTCTCGTCGGGCACACTCTCAGGTCTCCACCTCCCCTCATTCTCTACGAACCTGGAGGCAGGATGTGCGCTCTAGGACGGGGGTGTTCACCAGTTCACCCCTGCCTACGAGCGCGTGACACACTGCACGTGTGCTCATACGGGCCGTCACTTGGCTACCTTCACTCCGCAGCCGAGGTCGGACCTGTACACACTGACCAGTGAGTCCCCTCAGGTTGCTGCGTCTGCGTCTCCGTCCGCGTCAGGTCAACTGTCGGCCCCCTGCTCGTGTCGCTCTCTGGCACCACCGCCTTGGCCACCCGTCTGTGCAGCGGCTTCGTGCCATGCACTCCCGGTACCTTGTCTCTGGCCTTCCCAGGGTCCTTCCTCCCCTCCCTCCCTCACCTGCTCTTCCCTGTCTTCCCTATGTCGAGGGGCGGCAGCGCGCCGCTCCTCACTCCTCCTCGTTTCCCCCGACGACTGCTCCCTTGCAAACGCTCCACATGGACGTGTGGGGCCCAGCCCGCGTCCGTGGTCAGGGTCAGGAGAGGTACTTCGTGATAGTTGTTGACGACTACTCGCGCTACACCACAGTCTTCCCCTTGCGCACTAAGGGTGAGGTCCCTGATGTCTTGATCCCTTGGATCCGCAGAGCCCGTCTCCAGCTCAGCGAGCGTTTCCACTCGGACTTTCCTGTCCTGCGCTTGCACTCTGACAGAGGTGGTGAGTTCTCCTCCGACCTCTTGGCAGCCTACTGTGCTGAGCACAGCATTGAGCAGTCGTTCACGCTTCCGGCCTCTCCACAGCAGAATGGGATTACGGAGCGCCGCATTGGCCTGGTCATGGAGGTCGCCCGTACCTCCTTGATCCATGCGGCTGCCCCCCACTTTCTGTGGCCGTTTGCGGTCCGGTACGCTGCGCATCAGCTCAACCTCTGGCCCCGTGTCTCCTTGCCGGAGACCTCGCACACACTGCTGTGGACGGGGGAGGTTGGCGATGCGTCGCGTTTCCGAGTCTGGGGATCTCGAGCTTTTGTCTGGGATACGTCTGCGAACAAGCTCTCCTCCCGTGCTGTTCCCTTCGTCTTCCTCGGCTTTTTCCCAGACGCGCCTGGTTGGCAATTTTACCACGCCACCACGCGCCGAGTCTTGCCCTCTCAGTACGTCACTTTTGACGAGTCCGTCCCCTACTACTGCCTCTTCCCCTACTGCACTGCCCCGCTCCCCCCCCCGCCTCTCTTCCTTGCACGAGGTGCTGCTGTCGTAGACCCCCCCCCCCCCCCCCTCGAGGTGCCGCTCCCTCAGGTGTGTCTGAGGTAGACCCGGTTGAGCCTGTTGAGGTAGTTCTCGACTCTCGTCCTGTTGGGGGTGCGGAGCCAGGGGGTGCGGAGCCTAGGGGTGCTGAGCCTGGGGGTGCGGAGCCTGGGGGTGCTGAGCTGGGGTGCGGAGCCTGGGGGTGCTGAGCCTGGGGGTACTGAGCCTGGGGGTGCTGAGCTTGGGGGTGCTGAGCCGCAGAGTCCGGAGTCTGGGGGTTCTGAGTCTGGAGGTGCTGAGCCTGGGAGTCCTACACCTGGAGGAGCCCTCTCCTCGGAGCAGCTGCGTGAGTGGTACTTACAGTACTGCAGCCTCAGGAGAGGTACCTCTGGAGCCAGGCGTACTACTGGGAGTGGTGCTAGTGCTTCTCCTCCTAGTCGGGAGCTCCCCTCCCGTGAGCGGATCCGTGAGTGGTACGAGCGGCACTGCACTCTTTGGAGTGGCGCGCTTGGTGTCGCGGACCCCGCTGCTGCTGGTGGTGCTACTCGTGCTGGAGACTCTACTGGTGCTGCTGGTGCTGCGGCCCCAGAGGTTGGAGCTGCTTCTGGTGCTGCGGACCCGAGCGTTGGAGCTACGGCTGGTGCTGAGGACCCGGGCGCTGGTACTGCTGCTGGTGCTGAGGACCCGGGCGTTGGAGCTGCTGCTGGTGCTGAGGACCCGGGCGTTGGAGCTCCTGCTGGTGCTGCGGACCCGGGCGTTGGAGCTGCTGCTGGTGCTGAGGACCTTGGCGCTGGTGCTGCTGCTTGTGCTGTGGACCCGGGCGTTGAAGCTGCTGCTGGTGCTGAGGACCCGGGAGTTAGAGCTGCTGGTGGTGCTGAGGACCCTGGCGCTGTTGTCTTTGGTGGTTCTAGAGTCGCTGCGCGGTCGCGACCGTACTTCGTTCCGCTCCTTCAGCAGGTTCTTGGTCAGCTCCCTCCTCCTTGTCCTCCTCCCTCCTTAGGGTGTCCTCCGTCTGTCCAGCTGCAGTCGGAGCTACCATCTGCCTCCTCTCTCCCTGGTCCTGCTCCTTACACTGGTCCGACTAGAGGTCTTACAAAGCGTCGTGAGCCTGAGTCTCGTCCTGCGTCGCCTGAGTCTCGTCGTGCGTCGCCTGTCCGTGCTGCTCTCACTGGTAGTCGTGTCCCGCGTCAGCGTCTTCCTGCTGACCCATGCACTCACCGGATGGCGCTTTGTCCTTCCACTGCTCCACAGCGTGTCCCACTGCCGTCTCCTTCTGTGTCCTCTCTTCCTGCTCTTGCTGACCCGTAGTCAGACTTCCTTCGTGCTGCCAGTCCTACTGTCACGCGTCTCCTGGCTACTGTTGTCACTGACCCTTCCTTTGAGTCCGCTGCTGCGTCTGCCTTAGTTGCTGAGCTTGTTGATTTTGCTGCCACCTGTCATCTAGACTACGCCGCTAGCCTAGTTGCTGAGTCTGAGTATGTCTGTCCTCCGTCCGTTGGGTGTGAGTGTGCTCTTGGCACTGACGTCCTTGAGGACAGGCAGGACGAGTTTGAGTGCTTTGCTGCCGCTTTGCCCCGTCTCGTGTCCATGCTTGTTGCCCATGAGGGAGACCCGGATGCACCAGACATCCCGACCCCACGCTCTTACGCAGAGGCGATGGCCCGTAACTACTCCTCTCAGTGGCAGACAACCATGGACACAGAGATTGCTTCTTGGAAGTCCACAGGCACCTACGTCGACGAGGTTCCCCCACCTGGGGCGAACATCGTCAGTGGTAGTGGATTTTAAGGGTGAAGCGGCTGCCAGGCTCTCCACCTGTCTTCAAGGCGCGTTACGTTGCACGAGGCTTCAGTCAGCGAGAGGGAGTTGACTTCTTCCGGACCTTCTCCCTGACCCCGAAGATGACCACTCTTCGGGTTCTGCTGCACGTCGCCGCTCAGCGTGACTACGAGCTCCACTCTCTTGACTTCAGCACTGCTTTCCTACAGGGCAGCCTGCACGAGGAGATCTGGCTACGCCGCCCACCTGGCTTCACTGGGTCGTTCCCTCCTGGTACCCAGTTGAGCCTCCGACGGCCAGTCTACGGTCTCCGCCAGGCGCCACGTGAGTGGCACAACACACTGAGGACTACACTTGCGGCTCTTGGGTTCGCGCCTTCTACTGCTGACCCGTCGCTGTTTCTACGCACCGACACCTCATTGCCGCCGTTCTACATCCTCGTGTACGTCGACGACTTGATCTTTGCCACTGCTGACACTGCGGCACTCGCCCACGTGAAGTTGGAGCTGCAGAAGAGACACACGTGCACAGACCCGGGTGAAGTGACAAGCTATCTTGGCTTGCGGATCACCCCGGACAGAGCACGCCGCACCATCACCTTGACTCAGTCGCATATGGTGCAGCAGGTCCTTCAACGCCCTTCCGCTTCTCGTACTCCTCGCCTCAGCCCACTCCTCTGCCTACCGGTCACTCGCCCTTAGCTCTGCCTTCGGATGAGTCTGTAGAGCCGAGTGGCCCTTATCTAGAGCTTGTGGGTTGCCTCATGTACCTGATGACCTGCACTCGACCTGACCTTGCATACCCTCTTAGCATTCTTGCACGCTATGTCGCTCCCGGCCGTCACCGGAAGGAGCACATGGATGCAGCTAAGAGGGTGTTGCGCTACTTGTGCAGTACGTCGGGCATGGGGCTAGTGCTTGGAGGGCGAGACCCAGTTGTTCTCAGTAGGCACTCAGACGCTTCTTGGGCAGACGACCAGGCTACTCAGCGGTCGTCTCAGGGTTGCTCCTTCAGTCTTGGCTCTGGTTGTGTTTCTTGGCGTTCTACTCGCTCTTCTTCTGTTCTCAGCTCCAGTTGTGAGGCTGAGATCTACGCCACAACCATGGCGGCCCAGGAGCTACGCTGGCTCACCTACTTGCTGACCTACCTTGGAGAGCGGCCTCGTTCTCCTCCTGTGCTGTACGTCGACAACAAGGCAGCCATTGCCTTGTGTCAGGAGCATAGACTGGAGCACAGAACGAAGCACATTGCTCTGCGCTATTTCCTTGCTTGAGAGCTGCAGCAGCGTGGTCAGCTTCGTCTGCGTTACGTGACCTCTGAGGCCAACACTGCTGATGTGTTCACGAAGGCGCTTCAGCCTTGTGACCATCAGCGCTTTTGCACTCTTCTAGGCCTTGTGCCTACTGGACCTCACTTGCTTACTTCTTGAGTCTGTTTGTAATGTGATCTCTATATATATATACCTGCATGTTTACTCTTGCTAGGTTGTGATCATTGTACCTCTTATTCTATTATAAACCTGCATGTGAACTGGTCTTGTGACCACTTGCTTGTGCTCGGAATTTGTGTGGTATCCTTGAGATCCACCCTGAGCTTGTTTTGCCTTGCTTTGCCTTGACTGGTCTTGTGACCCCTAGTTCTCCCCCACTTCGCCTATGGGGGTGTGTCAAACAGATATTGTTGTGCTTGTTTAGGCTACAGTGGGTTAGCCTATAGGGGGTACACAATTCTAGGGTTAGGTACTTGTACTGATTTCACTGTTAGTTCAATCATTCCTGTTCGTTCATTTCAACAAGAAGGCTGTTTGTGCTGAGGCGGACACAGACGCCGACCAAGGTGCTGGTCGTGACCCGACGTCGACCGGCGGGAGCGGCGCAACTACAGCGTCGGGTGGGGACAAGCCTCGTAGGAAGGCGTCGGTGCATGGTCAGCCTGCGTCGACCACATCTTCAAAGTCGGCGTTTGCAGCCGCACTTGCTCACGTGAAGCGACTGGAAGAGGAGAACATGAAACGGAGGGACGAGAATGCGGGGCTGTGGTCGGATCTGGTTACCGAGAGGTGTCGGACGGAGGGGTTGTTGGCGACGGCGGCTGAGTGCCTCGCGGCTGTCAAGTCGCTTACTGAACGCGTCGCCGCCGCCGAGCAGACCGCGGGGACACACATCTCCAGAGCCACAGCAACCATGACCAGCGTCTTCACCGAGGTGCTGGACGATTGGGTTGCTCTGATCAAGGCGTGTAGCAGCATGACGACGCTGTTGCTGGGGGAAATCACAAAGAGCTTGGACAAGCTGGCCGTCGCCCGCCGTGATGCTGACGTGCGGTTGGGGAACCACGTGACCAGCGTGGGGGATAACGTTAAGGCGGTGTTGACCGATTACATCCAGACCAAGTTACCCTCAACTTCCACCAACATCGTCGGCGGCTTATCCCGCAGCATCGTGCCGCCCCCCCCCGGTCCATCCCCCGTGCTGCCTGAAGAAGTCATCAAAGCAATTAGGGATGACATTGTTCAGGCGGTAACCACCGTCATGCAGCAGGCGCTGGGAACCGTCGGCTTCACGCTTCTGCGCAACGTGCTTGCTACAATGAGGCTGGGGCGGCGTGGTTCGTCCCCATCGGCCGGCGACCTGGAGACCGCGCAAAGGCATAGGCCGGAAAAAAGGGCTGGCAGCGGAAGTGCAGCCAACGGCGACAACGCGGGAAATTCGAAGCGGAGTAAAGGTGTTGGTGGGGAGCGAGCAGTCGGCGGCGACGTTCCAGATTGTGCCCAGTCCGATTCTCCCGTCCTCAACATGCTGAGGAGAAAAGGGGCGACAACTCGGCTCCTTGGCCCGGAAAGTAGAGGAGGAGCTGGTGGCAGCTCGGAGGGCACAACTGCCGCCGAGGAGGGTGTGCGAGCCGGCGGGTCTTCCACTCACGGCGGTGGAAGGAAAGGTCCGGAGATTCCACGTCCTGGAGCAAGCGGGGTAGCACCACCGCCGTTCGATCGTGGTAACGTCGCCGTTGAATCGTTTGAAGTGCAGGCCGACGCGGCGATAGGCGTTGATCGCGGGCCGCCATTCGATGTTGAGGCTCCGTCAATCGGCGATCAGACTCACCAGGCTCCTGTGGTCGGCGTGGGGGGGGACACGGGCGCCCTCGGCGTGGAGGACACGGGCGACCTCGGCGTGGAGGATGATCCTGTGGCGAGAGCGTTGATGGAGGAGCTTCTTGCTTTTCAGGCGCCATTGCAGTAGCAGCTTGTCACCATCGATAACGTCGCTGTCCCAACAACTCGCGGGGGGGCGCAACCTGTCGCCGCTACAGCACCAACAGCCCCGGTCTCGGCCGATGTCGACGCGCGTCACACGGCAGCACCATCTGCTGATCCGCTGACAACTAGGCCCGTCGAAGCGCCAAGCACGGAGCAAGACAACGCCGGTCAGACCCTCACGGACCCGGTCGCGGCCATGCTTCTGGCCGCGGTCAACTCGTTTCAAGCGGCGGCACCTTCATCGCATCCGCCAACTACTGTCACCAGCGCTGCGCCGACCATGCAGCTCCCTGCCGCTGTTGCCATGCCGTCGGGCCCAGTCTCGGACATGCTGATGGCCGAGGTCAACGCGCTTTCAGCAGGTGCACAATCCGCTCAACCGCAGACTCACGGCACGCGCACTGCGCCGACCACGGTAAACTTGGCGGTGCCCGTACACCAAGAAGCGGCAAACGAGACGGTTCCAACGGCGGTGCCAACGCATCACCAGGTCGGCGCGGCGTCTGGACAAGGTGATTGGGGCGCGGTGGCAAGAGACGATGGTGCGGGGGAGATCCCTCTCATCATCGAGGACGAGGATGTGGAATTGATACAAGCAGCGATAGAAGCAGATGAAGTTGCCGCACTTCAGTCTTGCATCATTTGCCGCGATAGAAGGAGGTACGTCGGGCATCAGTGGCGTGGAGGGTCGGCCTGCCGGTGTTACAGCGTCCACCCAGGCCGGGCAGACCGTGCAGCCGGCCCGTTTGGCGTCCACCGGCGTCAGTGTAGCCGACCAGGCTATTCTGCCCATTCAGAGTCATCCTGCCGGCTTCATACAGGTAGATAGGGCCTTCCAGACCGGCCCGACCGGCGTCACTGGTTCTGACCAGGCTGGTCTGGCGGGAGAGTCCACTCGGCCCACCGCCGTTACAGTGGCTACTCATGCCGGCCAGGCCGGGCCTTCAGACAGGTCGGCGGGCGTCACTGTTGCGGACCTCGCGGGTCAAGCGGGGACGTCCACTGTTCTGGCCGGTGGACCAGTGGGTGAACACACCGACAAGGATGGACAGACCGATCGTGCGGCTGGAGTCGGCGAAAAAAAGAAGAAACAGAAGGGTAAAGCTGCCGCGTTGCAGAAGGTCGTCGTTCCGAAAAATCGCAGGGGGCATGGTATTAGGCTGGACAGGATGAGCGGTGGCGGGTGGCAGGGCGAGGTAAACCAGCTGGAAAGAGTCGCTACACGGGGAGATCGGACGACAGGATGGAAGTGGCGTACCTCAACGGCGTTGCGACGACCATCTTCGACGGACACGCCAGCGAAGTCCTATTGGCCGAAATGACCGCTGTTAAAGCCGAAGAAATGACGAGATGGAAGGCGGAGTAGGAGGAGGCAAAGATGATGTTGAAGGGTATGTGGACGGTGATGTGGTCCCGCCGCGCCACGATGTTTCGTGCACGGTAAGAATCGTGGGACTCGATGAGTTTTGAGCGGCGTGATATAGGTTTGACTGTGGGGTTTTACGCCGACTCACCACGTTCACGTTCCAACGTCGTGCGTGACAGGTTCCAGAAAGTCCTCGCCGACTTCAAACAGAAGAAGTCATCAGGGCCCCCGCTGATGAAACTGCTGAGGCCGGCGGTGTGGTTCGGCACTGGTCGGGAGCCGGCCAAGCGCAAGCAGCAGCTCAGCGACATCATCAACCGCGCTTGCTTGTGCGCGGCGTTTGTGAAGATTAGAACGAGAGAATGGATGCATTGAGCAGAATGAGGAGCACAAGTAGTAAACCCTAAAGTGTTGTACCCCATATGAACTGCCCCACTACAGCCTACGTAGACTATAGCATATATGCCTGACACACCCCCATAGGCAAAGTGGGGGAGAACAAGGGGTCACAAGACCGGTCAAGCAAAGCAAGGCAAGCCCAGGGTGGATCACAACGTCACCATACAGTCCGAGCACAAGAGCAAGGCCACAAGGCCAGTTCACATGCAAGATCATATATATAAAGGTAAACAAGCAAGTGCAGGTATAGAAAGAGTACAGTACAAACAAGATCAAGAAGTGAGCAAGTGAGGCCAAGTAGGCACAAGACCGAGCACAATACAAAAGCGCTGATGATCACAAGGCAGAAGGGCCTTGGTGAAGATATCAGCAGTGTTGGCCTCAGAGGCCACGTAGGTGAGGTGGAGCTGACCACGCTGCTGCAGCTCACGAGCCAGGAAGTAGCGGAGAGCAATGTGCTTCGTTCTGTGCTCCAGACTGTGCTCCCGACACAAGGCCAGCATGGCCTTGTTGTCTACGTACAGAACTGGAGGAGAACGAGGCGGCTCTCTTAGGTCACTCAGCAGGTAGGTGAGCCATCGTAGCTCCTGTGCAGCCATGGCCCCTGCGTAGATCTCAGCCTCACAGCTGGAGGTGAGAACAGAAGACGAGCGAGTAGACCGCCACGAGGCAGAGCCGGAGCCAAGGCTGAAGGTGTAACCCTGTGACGACCGCTGCATAGCCTGCTCGTCAGCCCAAGAAGCCTCTGCGTGACCTGTGAGGACCACTCGACGTCGCCCTCCAAGCACTAGCCCCATGCCCGTCATACTACACACGTAGCGCAACACCCTCTTCGCTGCAGCCATGTGCTCTAGTCGGTGTCTCCCAGGAGCAACATAGCGTGCCAAGATGCTAAGAGGGTATGCAAGGTTAGGTCGTGTGCAGGTCATCAGGTACATGAGGCAGCCAACAAGCTCTGGGTACGGGCCACTCGGCTCTACGGACTCATCCGAAGGCAGAGCTGAGAGCGAGTGGCGAGTAGACAAATGAGTGGCATGAGGCGAGGAGTACGTGAAGCCGAAGCGCTGAAGGACCTGCTGCACCATGTGTGACTGAGTCAGGGTAATGGTGCGCTGTGCTCTGTCCCGGGTGATCTGCAAGCCAAGGTAGCTGCGGAGTTCACCCACGTCTGTGCACGTGTGTCTCTTCTGCAGCTCGGACTTCACGTGGGCGAGTCCAGCAGTTTCAGCAGTGGCAAAGACCAAGTCGTCGACATACACGAGGATGTAGAACGGCGGCAAAGAGGTGTCGGTGCGCAGAAACAGCGACGGGCCGGCTATAGAAGGAGCAAACCCAAGAGCCGCAAGTGTAGTCCTCAGTGTGTCGTGCCGCTCACGGGGCGCGCAGGCTGCCCTGCAGGAAAGCAGTGCTGAAGTAAAGAGAGTGAAGCTCGTAGTCGCGCTGAGCGGCTATGTGCAGCAGCACCCAAAGAGTGGTCATCTTCGGGGTGGGAGAGAAGGTCTGAAAGTAGTCAACTCCCTGCCGCTGTCTGAAGCCTCGAGCCACGTAAAGCGCCTTGAAGACAGGCGGAGAACCCGGCGGCAGCTCCACCCTGAAAATCCACATGCCATTGACGATGTTCGCCCCAGGTGGGGGAACCTCGTCGCATAGGTGCCTGTGGACTTCTAGGAAGCCATCTTTGCGTCCATGGCCGACTGCCACTGAGAGGAGTAGGGACCCTCGATCGCCTCAGCGTACGATCGAGGAGTCGGGATGTCTGGTGCATCCGGGTCTCCCTCAGGGGCAATCAGCGTGGACACGAGATGGGACAAAGCAGCAGCAAAGCACTGGAACTCCTCCTACCTGTCCTCAAGGACGTCCGTGCTAAGAGCACACTCACCCCCGACGGACGGTGGACAGACAGACTCAGACTCAGCAATATGACTAGCAACGTAGTATAGACGACAGCGAGCAGCGAAGTCGACAAGCTCAGCAACTAGGGCAGACGCAGCACTGGACTCAAAGGAAAGGGTCAGTGACAGTAGTAGCCATGAGACGCGTGACAGAAGGACTAGCAGCACGAAGAGAGTCAGACTCCGGGTCAGCAAGAGTAGGCAAAGAGGACTCTGGAGGAGACGGCAACGGGACACGTAGAGGAGCAGTGGAAGGACGAAGCGCCATCTAGTGTGTGCCGGGGACCCCAGGAGGACGCGGACACGCAGTACAACCACTATTGCGAGAAGCACAAACAGGTGAGGCAGGATGAGACGCAGGCTCACGACGCTCAGCAAGACCTCCAGTAGGACTAGTGTAGGGAGAAGGAGCAGGTAGAGGGGAGGCGGGCTATAACTATGAGTGCGACTGGATAGGCTGTGGACACTCTAAGGGAGGAGCACGACGACGAGAGGGCGGGAGACCAAGAACCTGCTCCAGGAGCGGAATTAAGTACGGCCTCGGCCGCTCAGCGCCTCCAGAACCAGCAATGACGGCACCAGTACCCCCAGCGACAGCACCAGCGCTAGCAGCACCTCCAGCTCCAACAGCGCCAACTCCAGCACCCTCAGAATCACCACCGCCAGCAGCATCACCAGCGCCAACACCCCTAGGAGCTCCAGCTCTAGCAGCACCAACTCCAGTAGGACCGTCAGCACCAGCAGCCTCAGCAGCACCCCTACACGCACGAGCGTCTGTAGAAACACCAGCGCCAACACCCCCAGCAGCTCCAGCTCCAGCAGCACCAGCACCGCCAGCAGCTCCAGCAGGACCAACTCCAGTAGCCCCAACAGCACCTCCAGTCTCAGCACCACGTCTCCACCGGCGGGCAAACCACTCGCGCAGCTCCTATGGAGAGAGCGTCTCCTGCCTCGACGAAGCACCGCGGGCGGCCACACAAGCAGACCCAGCGCCCCCACGCTCGGCACCCCCAAGCTCAGCACCCCCAGGCTCAGCACCCCCAGGCTCAGCACCCCCAGTCTCAGCACCCCCAGACTCAGCACCCCCAGACTCAGCACCTCCAGACCCGGCACCTGTAGGCTCAGCACCTCTAGCAACACCAGAGTCAATTGTTACCTCGACAGGCTCGACTGCGTCTACCTGGGACACACCTGACAGGGCAGGACCCTGAGGGGGGAGGGGGTCTACCGGGGCAGGACCTGGCGTAAGAAAGAGCGGCGGCGGGGGGAGGGGCGCAGTGCGGTAGGGGAAGAGACGGTAATAAGGCACCGACTCGTCAAAGGTGACGTCCTAGGAGGACAGAACACGGCGCGAGGTGGGGTGGTAAAACTGCCACCCAGGCGCATCAGGGGGGAAGCCAAGGAAGACGCAGGGAACTGCACGGGGGGACAGCTTGTCCGCAGACAAGTCGCGGACAAACGCACAAGATCCCCAGACCCGAAACGCAGACGCATCGCCAACCTTCCCCGTCCACCGCAAGGTGGGGGAGGTCTCTGGCAAGGAGACCCAGGGCTGAAGGTTGAGCTAATGCGCGGCGTACTGAACCGCAAACGGCCACAAAAAATGGGGGGCAGCCGCATGCATCATGGACGTACGAGCGACGTCCATGACCATGCCAATGCGGCGCTTAGCAATCCCATTTTGCTGTGGAGAGGTCGGAAGCGTGAAGGTCTGGCGGATGCCCTGTGCACGACAGAAGGCTCCCACACGGGCAGAGGAAAACTCCCCGCCTCTGTCCGAGTGCAGACGCAGAACAGGAAAGTCCGAGCCGAAGCTCTCCCTGAGCTGGAGACGAGCTGTGCGGATCCAGTCGATCAACACCTCAGTGACGTCACCCTTGCTGCGCAAGGGGAAGGTTGTGGTGTAACGCGAGTAGTCGTCAACCACCAGTAGGAAGTACGGCTCGCGCCCCTGCCCATTGACGCGAGCGGGGCCCCACACGTCCATGTGGAGAGTCTGCAGCGGAGCCTCTGTCGGAGGAAACTCGGAGGAGTGAGGGGACGCAGGTAGGGCTAGGCCACGGAGGTAGGGGAGGGAGAGACCGAGGGAGACAAGAGACAAGGACACGGGAGGCCATGCCTCGGAGACGAGGCAAGGAGGGGTGACCAAGGCGGTGGTGCCAGAGGAGAGTCAGGTGGGATAGTAGACGACACAAGCAGGGAGTAGACTCAGGACCAGACCTGGACCCTGCAGCAAACACCTGACTCGACGCAGCTACCTGGGCAGACTCAGCAGTCGGAGGAGACTCAGTAGTAAGGGTGTACAGGCTCGAGCCTGACCGACGGGTGAACGTGGCCAAGTGTCGGCCTGTCCGAGCACACGTGCAGTGGGTCACTCGCTGACTCGCAGGAGTGAACTGGTCATTCCCCCTATCCTGTAGGTCCCCTCCACTCACCAAGTTCGTAGAGAACGAGGGGAGGTAGAGACCTGACAGGGTGCCTAAGGGGTCTGCCGGGCACGGTAAGACAGTGGAGAAGCTAGCAAGGACAGGACCCCGAGAGGGGTCCGCTAGGGAGACTGCAACCGGCCGAGTGAGCGGCGTAAGAGTGGTGCGGTCTCGAAAGAAGGAGCGGGATGCACCCGAGTCAAGGGTGAAGGTGTGGAAGGCCTGAGCCGACGTAGTACCTGAGAGAGCAGACTCACAAGCACCTGGGGCAGCAGACGCACTGGTACCTGGGGCAGCAGACGCACTGGTACCTGGGGCAGGAGACGCACTAGCACCTAGAGCAGAAGCCTCACCAGCACCTAGAGCAGTGGCCTCAATGCCCGGGTCAGGCGGTACATGCAGGTAACAGTCACCCTCAACACTAGTAGTCACTGAATACATGGCAGCAAGGATAGCATCATAGTCAAGATCAAAGACTGCAACCCCCGCCCTAGACAGATCTCCCGAGTGAGGGATCTCTGACGCCTCAGGAAACTGGCGACGCCACGCGTCCGTCAGGCGATCAAAGCAGCGCTGGGTGGAGTGCGGGCCCCCGCACTGCTCACCAGCTCTGTCTCCTGTACGGAGGACGTAAGTGCAGGGACAAAAACCCCCACCGCGCTGACGCGCAGTGTATCACTCACGAAGCTGCTGAGGGGACGGGGTCACACCACTCCGCTGCTGCTGGCGCAGACCACCACCTGAGCCACTCCGCTGCCGCCGCCGCCTCCGCCTCCGCCGCCTCCTCCACCTCCGCCTCCTCCGCCACCTCCGCCGCTTCCGCTCCCTCCGCCACCACCGCCGCCACCCCCGGCATCACTCCCACCACCACCCCCACTCCCTCCACTGCCTCCACCACCACCTCCACCGCCCCCGCCAGCCCCTCCAGCACCCTTGCCCCCCTTGCCCTTGCCGGTGCGGCGTCTCACGCTTGGGGCAGACGCAGCACCGACCGACTCGAAACCAACGAGGTCGGCCGTAACAGCAAAGGCAACAGAGGGCAGGAGGGGGGAGGGAGAACACTCCTCAAAGACGGGGGTGCGAGGGTCACCACGAGAGGCTCCTACAGCGACTAAGCTCTGCTCTGCTGCTAGGAGGGCGTTCTTGAGGAGGTCAACGGTGAGAGTGGTGGGGCAAACTGAGAGGAAGTGGTCCCTGACTACGCGGAGAGAGTCAGGGAGCCGGGTGACTATGTAGTAGAGGGTGATGTAAATGGGGGGGGGGGGGTTCTTGGCGCAGAACTCAGCAGGAAGCGCAGCGCGGTAGCGAGTGTCACTAGTGCGGAGGTGCGTAATGAGGTCAGCGACTGTGGGAAAGGCAGCAAGGTCAGGGAAGAGGTACGGTAGCATGAGGCGGCTCAGTGCAGCAGTGGCAGGGGAAGAGTAGCGTGCAACTACAACGTCGTACAAGGTCTGAGCACTCTTGTACTGGCTAAAGTGTGAGCGGCGGTAAGTGGCGGCGCACAGCAAGGCGAGCAGCAGCATCGCGCGTGGCCCACTGTGAGCGAACAGTGGCGTCAGCATCAGTAGCAGGGGCAGGAGAGGCACCAGAAGTGAGGTCAAACAGGGAGAGACCGTCTGCCCTATCGCACTGTAGGAAAAGCTGCAGATGATCTACCCAAACCTCAAAGTCAACTGCCCGACCCTCAGCGTCAAAGGTGAGAACACTAGGGGTGGCCATGACAGCAATAGACAGGCAGTGAGTACAGTGGGGCAGGGCAGTGTAGTGGTAGAGGCGCTGCTCTTACCAAGCAAGTGAGGAGGTCCCTGGTAGGTCGACAGGCGGCGGCGCCTCGGTTGCAGTGCGGCTCGGCGGTAAAGGCAGCTCGGTGGCTCGGCGGCTCGGTAGCACAGGCGGCTCGACGGCTCAGCGGCTCGGTGGCTCGTTGGCGCAGCGGCTTGGCAGGTCGGCGGCTCGGCGGCTCTGCAGCGAAGGCGGCTCGGCGGGGCCGTGAAGGGCGGCGTCGTTGCCGCTAAGGAGCGGCGACGGGGCCGCTGAAGGGTGGCGACGGGGCTGCTGAAGGGCGGCGACGGGGCCGCTGAAGGGTGGCGACGGGGCCGCTGAAAGGGCGGTGACAGGGCCGCGGAAGGGCGGCGACGGGGCCGCTGGAAGGGCGGCGACAGGGCCGCGGAAGGGCGGCGACGGGGCCGCTGAAAGAGCGGCGACGAGGCCGCGGAAGTGGGGGGTCGGCGACGGGGCCGCTGAAAGGGCGGCCACGGGGCCGTGGAAGGGCGGCGACGGGGCCGCTGATGGGCGGCGACGGGGCCGCAGTAAGGGGCGGCGACGGGGCCGCGGAAAGGGGTGGCGACGGGGCCGCCTAAGGGCGGCGACGGGGCCGCAGTAAGGGGCGGCGACGGGGCCGCTGAAAGGGCGGCGACAGGGCCGCCTAAGGGCGGCGATGGGGCCGCAGTAAGGGGCGGCGACGAGGCCGCTGAAAGGGCGGCGACAGGGCCGCTGAGAGGGCGGCACGACGGGGCCGCAAGGGCGGCGCGATGGGGCCGTGAGGACGGCGCGACGGGGCCACTAGGAGCCGTAAGAGGGGCCGCTAGAGGCCTCGATGGGGAACGACACGGGGCGCGACTCGGGCAGGGGCCGAGCGCGCTCCGGGTAGGAAAACAAAGTTCGGTGGGCCCTAGGAACATTTCCCACGAGGGAACCAGCTCTATACCATGTGAAGATTAGAACGAGAGAATGGATGCATTGAGCAGAATGAGTACAAGTAGTAAACCCTAAAGTGTTGTACCCCATATGAACTGCCCCACTACAGCCTACATATACTATAGCATATACGCTTGACAGCGTTTGGGCCAGTCGTGGCAGATTCCGTCCCCAAAACTGGTGCAGACGCCAAGCGCTTAGGCCAAGCTGTCGCTGCTTCATCTTGCGTCGTCTGGTGCTTCGCCGAGACCGTAGCCGAGGTCGGCAATGCGGCGGGTGAAGCGGAGGCGCCGGCACTGCTGTGTGCAGCGAGCACCGATTTTGCTGACATTTGTCACGACGTCGTGGTTACAGTGCTAGAAACGGCGGTTGCGAGACAACCCGTCCTGGGAGAGGTCTCGTGCAACGTCACCGACGCACTGCAGAAGGATGCTTTTCGGAAGGCGTGCAAGGGCTGTGACCCCACACCCGACGCTGAGATTATCGCGAGGGCGACTATCGAGACCCTCGCTTTCTGGGGTTCGTGCAACGCCGGCGGCCCCCTTCTCCGATCACGCGGCATTCAAGTGCCGCTGGACAAGCAGATGGGGAAGGATATGGATAACAGGGGAAAGAAGGGACAGAAGGGGAAGCACGCCGCGTAGATGGGTTTTGTTGTTGTGTCTGTCGTTGTGTTCTGGACCGACGTCGCAATGTGTAGCAAGATTGTTGATTGATTGTGGGGTTTTGGTGGGCGCCGACTTTTATTGTGCACTTTTGCTGTGTTTCTAGCACGTAGGTGAATTTGCTGTTCATGAAACGCCCTCATGTTTTCGGTTCTTTGGCAAATTCTTAACTGTTGGGAACATTGAATCCACAGTCAAAGTCAGAAAGAAAAGTCACAATCGAGCTAAAAGAAAGTAGCTAGGCGGCGACAAAACATCAGCCCGGCTTCCGACGCTTGGACGTCTTCGTCGGCAGCGGCGGCGGTCTTCGAGCGGCTTGCTCCGCGGCCGCTTGGGCCGCCATAGCTTTCTGCTCTTCCCACGTGGTCGGGAACATGTCCTCGCCCCACTTGTGCGTCATGTATCTCGCCGCCACCAGTCCCCAAGCAACCGTCAGCTTGGGCTTCTCACCCTTAGAAAGCCTCTTGATGCCCAGGTTCCCCTCTGTGCGTATCAGAAGCGCGTCGGCGTCGATGATCTTCGGAGCATCGCAGAAGGTCAAAATTCCCGACGCAGCGAGCTCGTCAAATTTCTTGATCACGGCGGCCGTGTCGGCCTCTCCGTCTGACGAGCGGAAGCGGCGCACGGCCTCCATCGCCCTCCTCATTCGGCGCATCTCACCCTGTTTTGCGTTGGCCGACAACTTGCCCAGGAGGCTGTGCCGCCCGATGAAACCTGGCTCGTTGATCCTGTCGTAGAGACGCCGACGGTCCGTGGTGGTGGGGCAGTTCCAGAAGCGCCAGGCCTATGCCACAGTCTCGGCCTTTCTCCATGGGTCGACAACCAGGGCCTCATAGTAAGCGTCAGCGTCCAACTGAGCATGCTTAGCGGCCGCAACTGCCTCCTCTTCCAGGGTCGTCGGCCTAGAAGGCGCATGTGGCGCTGGCGCCCTACGTGCCTCGGAGATCTTGAGATCTCAACGTCCCTCGCCGCGATAGCAGCACGCGCCTCCTCGAGCTCCTTCTCCACCTTCATCTGCTTGAGCGTCGCTTTGTGCCTCTCGTGGGCCAGCGTCTCGTTCAGAAGGTCGACCTGAAATTCGGCGTCCAGGCGGGCTGAGATTTCTTGCGAACAACAGCGGAGCGGGTTAGGAGTCAAGTGATGCAAGCACGCTTGCTGCCAAGTCACGCGGAGTTCATCTTGTGCTTACAGCTGGCTGGGTCGGGATCGGCGACCGGCGCTTGGCGATCGTCTTGGTGTCAATCTTCTCGATCTCCTTCGCCCACGCCTGAAAGTCGCGATCCCGACAAAGCCTCGAAGCCTGGACCTGAGGGTGCCACGGAGTGCGGACGAGTTTCACCGCGAGGTCCTCGGCCGCAATGCGGCGTGCATCCAGCATGGTCCGGATGTAGTGCACCGCGGCCGTGTTCGCCTCAGGCCCTTGTGCGAGCTCTTCCGCCTGCATGAAATAGAGGAATGTCGGTGTGAACCAGTGAAGAGAGAGACGACACGATGCATGAGGACGGCGTCGCTACACTCACCGCCCCCAGCTGTTCCTCGACGCCGGGAAATATGTGCGCGGCGATGGTTTTTTCGAGGTCTGCGCTGGGAGGTAGCCTGCTGCAGCCCAGGAAGTAGTCGCTTCGAGCTCCAGAGTAGCCGGCCTTCTTCATCACCACCCGGACTGGAATTGAAGTGATGTAACTCCTCGTCATCTTGTCAATAGCCCAGTGACCCAATTCGGCTATCTCGGCGCGCGGCGTGCCTTGGTCAGCCAGCTCTTGTGCCCTGCCGGCGCGAGCGGCGTGCACGTTGCGCTTGATGAAAACCTTGTTGGCCGTCCACAGCTGCCGAGTGATTTGTTGCTGGCTCGACGACGGCAGCAAACCCTGATCCTTGTCGTAGCGGGCGAAGAAGAGATGCTTGTCGTACCAGAGCTCCGGTCGGCGTACGTCCAGCGGCGGAATTATGGGGACGCCGAAGATCTGGGGGACCTGGTCGTAGATGAAGCGCAGCCAGAGGATTGTATCGCCCACAGCACACAGTTCCGCCTCTAAGTGCCTCGCCGCGTAGCTGTGATGAAGACGGGCGTCCTTGCACGTCTTCGAGTTGCGCTGCGCGATGACCATGACTATTGGCCGGTTCTCAGGGTTCACCGACGACCCGCTAGCAAGGCGGTACAGAAAGATGTCGGCGAGCGTGATCTCGCGTACGCTGGCACCGCGGAGCAGAGTGTGGTGCGATAGCAGGGTCGTCGTTCTCATAAGCATGAACTTCCACATAGTCTGGGAAGGACCTGTTCCCCCCGGATTCCACGCCGTCGCCGACCAGTGCGGCAACACCTTGAACATGATTTTGCGGAACTGCTCGGTGGTGTAAGTGTCGCCGATGGTTCCGCGATGTCGGTCGACATATTTTCTACACAAGAGGAGAGTGCGAGGGTGATGATTGAGTGTGAGCGGCGTCGGTGAGCATTGGCGGGAATACTAGAGAGGACTGGCAAAGTCGGCGATGTTAAAGCATCTTACTTGGTGTCGGCTTTGTTCTTTCCGCGAACCATGACGCGCACTTCCGTGCGGACGACCGAGATGTCCTGCATGATGTGCAGCTCCTTCTCCTTGTACGGGGTTGCCTCTATCTTGGCCGCCATCTGAAGGGCCTTGATGCGGCCGAGTAGCATGTTGACCGTGCAAGGCTTGATCGGCTGCGTGCGCATGGCGCTGTTGCCCTCTTCGCTCCTCATTGCCTCGATGAGGGTCTCTCGCGCTCTGAACAAGACGTAAGCGCGAATTCGAGGCTCGTTGGTCCTCGGGCCGTGCAACCAGATGAACTGGCGCGGGGCGATGTGCCAACGTTCGCCCAAATCATCGCCGATTTGCTTGCCGATTTCGTCCTTGTCAGTGAGTATGGACCCCGGCTCCAGGTCGTCACCTTCTGACGGAAGAGCATCCACCGCCCACCGCTTGTAGTCTAGTATCCACGATATGTACTGCCGCAGCGACGACCCTTCCTCGAGCGTCTCCGTGTGGCGAAGGGCATTGGCTATCAGCACTTCGATGTCGCTGTTCTTCAGATCCTCGACCACAAACTCAGTCGCCGTAAACTCTCCTCGCGGGACGCTCGCGTGCAGCCTATCTTCGAGTTCGTCCTCGGCCAACACCTCCTCTACCTCTCTTCGATCCCTCTCTGCTCGAGTGAGCGGCCGACGTTGGCGTCTAGGTCCCGGGCCGGGCTGGGGTTCCTCCTCCTCATCGCTAGACAAAGAGTCCTCCTCCGGCTGGCTAGGACGTCGCTTTTGGGGGTCGCCTACAGGTGGCGGCGGAATGTCAGGGTCGACGGGAATTTTAGCCAACGCATCTAGATCGTAAATCAGACGCAACGTCACTGCCGGAATGCTGGTGGGGCGGACGCCGGCCGGCGTTGTGGCGGACGCCGGCCGGCGTTGTGGCGTCACCGGTCAAGTTCACCCGCGCCTGGGCTGCCAGCGGAACGTAGTCCGACATGTTGGCCTCGGCCGTATGTCCTAACAGCGCTTGTTGTCTACTAAGGGCCAGCCGGCGAGTTGGTCGGCGGGTCGGGCATAAAATGGCGGTATTGGGTAACGGCGGCGGCGTACTGTTGCTGCGTTGTGTTCGCTTCTAGTGACCTAGTGACCCTAGTGTCTGTCTCTAAGCGGGCGGCGAGAGAAGCTTGCGCCAACTGCGCGGCGATGTCCCCCTCAAGTGGGTTTGTTTCCGGCGGCGTTGCACCAGGCCGGTCGCCGACCACGCACAGCGCAACCCTAAACCAGTCTCGGCCTTTCTCCACGGATCTGGCCGATTGTGCCTCCCGTTTAAAACGGGCGACGAAACTGTGAAATCGGCTGCTACGACCAACGAAACCCAGCGCCCCAATAATCGGTCTCACCTGTTGGTCGGCGTCAGACGCCGGAGCCGCGGTGTTCTCCGCAGAGCGTGTCTTGGTGGAAAAAAACTAAGTGTGAGAGCGCAGGCGTAAGAAGTGACGAAAGGAAGTGGGAGTAGGAAAAATCGCTAGTGGCAGCTTGGCTCCGGAGAGGTCATGGACGTGCGTGGCTCCGCACATGCCACCAAGCAGGCAAGGTTCTGTACACTTGGCATTCATGCCGCTGTCCACGCGAGGCGGCGCATTCTCCGACGTGCCACGGCTCTCGCATGGCCACTACAACGCCGCCGTGACTGTCCATGAAGGTGTTTTGTAAGGCATGCCACGGCAGCAATACAAGGCGCGCCGAGGCTTGTGGCATTGGTCCAGAGTCCATTCATGGCGCACTCGTGCCACCGGTGATTGGCATCACGAGATACTTTGACGCCGACTTTGCGGACACCGCGGGTTCATCACGAGATACTTTGACGCCGACTTTGCGGACACCGCGGATTCTATTTTCCCGCGCAAGAAATAGTCCTCCGATGTTCGACACTTGGACCCGGCATCGCCGTTCGATGTACGCTGCGTGTCCGGCGCCGACATTTATCCTGCCCCCACGTCTGATTCCTGTGCACGTGCCAGGCCGCTGATGCTCGACACCTGGACCCTGCCTCGCCGGTCGATGCTCGCCGACATTTCGGTGCCCACCTGTTCCTCTTCAGCGCTCAATTTGACCGCCGATTTCTTCCACGTAGACTTACCCCGTGACGCCGCGTGTCACGCACCGACATTCTCATGGCCCGCGCGTTCTTTCTTGCGCGACGCTTGAGGCGTGGTCGGGTGACGCGTGGACGCCAGTGTGGACGCCGACATTCGAGGGAGGTGGGACATAATCCAGGTCATCCGTAACCCGCCGCATGTCGTGCATCCGTGGTCGACGTGTCCTGCTGGCAACTCGCCACGCGTTGAGATATACTTTGTGGGTATTTCTCAGCCCACGAGAATGTCGACGGCAGGCCTGTCGATTCAAGGGCATATGCTCTTAATGCCTTGAACATTCCGGGCTACTTTTGCTCCACCTAGACTGCCAGAAGTGATAGATTCGCACTGCACCCGTGCCACTAAGTGTGTCGCCCAAACCAGGCCTTCCCCTGTCTTGAAGTTTTGGTTTCTGGTTGTAGGACCCCCCCACCCCCCCCTTTCTGCCAGACCCTACCCCCCTTTCTCCTTAAGTTGCACGAGAGGAGTGGATTTTCCCCTTAGCGTTTTCTAGCCAAAACAGTGTTTGTAAAGTGTCTAAGTCAGCTTGGAGCACCCGAATTTTCCCTTAGCGTCTAAGTGTCCCCCCCCCCCCCTTTTTCCCTCCTACACGAGAGGAGTGGATTTTCCCTTAGCGTTTTCTAGCCAATCCTGTGTTTGTAAAGTGTCTAAGCCAGCTTGGAGCACCCGAATTTCCCTTAGCGTATGACGGCCCCCCCCCCCCCCCCTTTCTCCTTAGGTTGCACAAGAGGAGTGGATTTTTCCCTTGACGTTTTCTAGCCATCCAGTGTTAGTTAAGTGTCTAAGTCAGCTTGGAGCACCTGAATTTTCCCTTAGCGTCTTTAAGTGTCCCCCCCCCCCCCCCCCCCCTTTCTCCTTAGGTTGCATGAGAGGAGTAGATTTTTCCCTTAGAGTTTTCTAGCTATCCCGCGTTTGTAAAGTGATTAAGTCAGCTTCTGAGTACCCAATTTTTCCCTTCGCGTCTAAGTGTAAACTCTTCACGGGCCCGGATTTTAAGTTTTCACTTTGGGGTGCGCCCGTGACCGTTAAGGGCGCCCAAACGCTCAGATGGGGAGGAGCCAGGGAGCGCAAGTATGGGTCCCAGGAACTTCGACAGGCCTGGTCGACGGTCGTTCGGCGTTCCCTAGGGCTCCGTGCCCCAGTCTGCCATACAATTTCCGACGGTCGGACGGCGAGCTGAAATGGAACCCTGTCGGTTCTGTGCGGCGAAAACGGGCGGGGGAATTCGTCGGCTGAGCTATATCATGCTGTACCACCACATTCAACCGCCAACAAGGACACGCCAACATCCCGCAAGGTTCACGTGCCACGATGACAGTACAGTTCTGTCAATTCTCCAAATTTCAAACCTGCCAGCCGCAATTTACTGCAATCGGATCAGACATGCCATACTCCGCAGCTTGGCCACGAGCCCACATTGCGAACCGCAAGCGCGTGAGGCTGATCTGGAACACATGTGCAACTACACAAGAAGACCTTGTTCACCAGAAACCTCATTATTTCAATATACCCTGCCCGGTGATCCGAGAGAATTGATGTAACATCCCAAATGATCTCTCAGCTTTGCTACTTTTTTTAGGATGCATTACACTTATAAAAGCGGCTACATCCACAGTCGTAACTGAAACTAAAGTACTGTCGATCTGGTGATTTGGGTATGCTATTGTATTGTAACCTCTCGTAGTGGCAAGTTGTTCCAGTAATTCCCCCACGGCGGGTCTACCCTGTCCAGTTGGCTTTTACCCTGGCTGAGCCGAATCGCTCAATCAAGCCGCTTCGGGATTTCCGTCTACCTTGGGCGAAATTGCGCGCACCGAACCGAACTGATTTCGCCTCCGTTTGCAGGATAAAATGGCTCTCGACATTTCTCATAACATTCCTTCCTTCCACAAACCAGCAGAGTTCGCACCCCATTCTTGCTCACAAGACATACCAACACCACATCTCCCACTTCCCCGTCTCTTGATCCTCGATTTCCCGCAAGCCATGAAGACTCTTAACTTCGCAGTCTATCTCGCCGTCGCCATATCACTCCTTCTGCTCATCACTCCTTCGCCGGCAGATGCGCGAACGTTTGCAACGGTCCAGGAAACCCTGGACGAGGTCGCAGCTAGGCTTCGTGAAGAGGCTGATGCTGCCTGGGCCGAGCTCGAGGCGTCGGTGGAGCTCGCAACGACGCGCGCCGATGAGGAAGCCGCCGCTAACGCCACCGTTGAATCCGCAAAAACGGTCGCTCAGGCGGCGAACGCAGCGTTTGCTGCGGCGAAGGCTAACGCGGCGAGCAACAAGACCGCGGCGGAAGCGGCGAAGAAGACAGTCAACGCTCTCAAGAAAACGGTCGCGGGGATTCAGAAGAAAGCCGATGGCAAGAAGGCGTACGAGAAAGCACAGGAAGACCTGAAGAAGGCGGAAGAAAAGGCTGCGCAGGCCAAGACGAAGAAGGAGAAAGCGCTCGCGGCGGCCGCAGCGCAGCAGAAACTCGCAGACGACGCGGCCAAATCCGCGGGTAGCGCCAAGGGAAAAGACGCGTCGAAGGCGAAGGAGAAGGCCAAGGGCGAGCAGAAGAAGGCCGATGAGATGCGGAAGACAGCGGACGGCGCGGCGTCGGAGGAAACCGCGGCCAAGGTGGAGGCGGAAAAGGCGAGGGCGAACGTCGCAAAGACGCCGAACCCGGCGCTCACGCCGGAGGAGCAGGCGGCGCTCGATAAGTATAACGCCGCGGTCGCCGCCGCGACGAAGGCGGAAGCGGACGCCAAGACCGCGGAGGCGGAGCTAAAGGTGGCGGAAAAAGCGGTGACTTCCGCCAAGGCGGCGCTTTATAAGGCGAAGGCGGGGCTGACCTCCGCGACTGCGCGCAGGGTGGAGGCGGACAAGATAGTGGAGATTAAGAAGGCTGCAGCGGAAGCGGCGGAAGATGCGGCGGTTGCTGCGGAGGAGAAGGCCAGGGACGCGGGCGCGCCAGGCTCGGAGGCTGCTCCAGGTTCGGAGGAGGCGCCAGGCTCGGAAGCGGCCCCGGGTTCGGAAGCTGCGGTGCTGCCGTAATAGAATGATGGGATGCGGCATGGAGATGAGTGGTGCTTGTGACTCGCAACTTTGCTTACGTGGAAAGTCATCAAGTCTGTAGTTAGGAGCCATGTAGTGCGGAGTTCCTCCTTAGCATACATGCTTGTAGCGGTTACAGGCTTTTTACCCTGACACTGTGGCATGTGATAGCTTGTATGCTGAATAAACATGGCCCCATGGCTTATACCGGTATTCTAAGCTGGTTCTTATGCACCAGTATACCACGTGTGCTTAGATGTCACCCACTCCATCCAATCTACCACGGGTGGAAGACCAGTACTGAAATCATACCAGTATCTTCTTTGTACCGGTATTACCCTACACTTGGATCACAAGACTAACTCTCTTGTTTGCATCTACAGAATGCGAAACTGAATCTAGTTATTGCTACGAGAATCCAGCTCATATAAAGTAACTGTCATTATCGAGCTGCTATCACGCGCATGTAGACACACTGGTTCCTAGTCTATATAGCATGTCTCAAGCTTCCCCTGTCAATTCTACAATGGACATTAGTACATATGGGAATTCAATTAATGGCCATGCATAAGAACAGGCCTGATGCATGCATCCACACAGATCCCGCATCACACCTGCAGCCCCTGCATAATACCCACAGCCCCTGCATCACACCCACAGCCCCTGCATCACACCCACAGCCCCTGCAGCAGGTATAAGGCCAGCATCCACCTGCCATCTCCAAACCGCCCACCCTCCTCCCCTCGCCTCACAATCCCTTCCAGCACCTCCTCTATCCCTGCTCCCACCATCACCGCATGATTCTCCTCGTTGCTTCCCAACGCATACAGCACTCCCAGCGCAGCACGCTGACACGCCACCGATGGCCTCCCCATCCTGCTCCCCCTGCTCTCCCTGCTGCTGCTGCTGACACTGGGTTTCTGCCGTAGAATTTCCACCAAAGGGAAAATGGCGCCCGCCCGCGCCATAGCCTGGAGATACCCGGGGTTACCCGTAAGAGCCAGATCAAGTAATCGCACCGCCGCTCTCTCCCTCCTCTCTGCCTGGGGTAGCAAGGCACTGGATCGAAGCAGCGGCGGCGGCGGTGGCGGGGAGAGAGTCCCTCCCGGGAGAGGAAGCAGCGTTGGATGAATCTCCATTCCACTCCACACCTCCTCTCCCACCACTCCCTCCTCTTCCTCCCCTCCCCACGCTCCTCCTCCCTCCCCCTGCCCTCCACCCTCTCCTCCCCCCCCCAGGTCTTCCACCAGATGTGGAATCAAATCAAAGGTGGTAACTGCGATTTCAGCATCAGCAGCAACGTCAGTGATCACCAGAAGAGCCTCGGACACCTTGTCCTTCACCTGGAGCGGTGCAGAGGACTGGAGAACGATTTTGAGGCAGTCAACGAGGCGGGAATCGGCGAGCACGGAACGGGCTGAGCCTCCTGCTGTGGAGGCAAGGCGGCGAGCGAGGAGAGCTGCTGCTGCCTGTGCTGCCCAGAGGTCTGATTCGGCCTCTGCTGAGAGAGGAGAGGAGGCTGACGCGGAGGATAGTGCTCGGATGGGGTCTGGGTCTGGAGGGGTGGGTGGGAGGTGGAAGCGAAAACAGGGGAGAAGGGAAGCGGGAGAAAGGGAGTGGGGGGGCGAAGTTAGGGGAGAGATATTGAGGAAAAAGGGAGTGGTGGGGAAGGAGACAAGGAAGGGGGATGGAGGTTTGGGAAGGGGGGATGGAGAAGATGGGAAGGTTGTTGTGGTGCGAGGGTTGATACACTCAGGTGAATTTCAGGAACTGGGGGAGACCGTCAATGTGACTCTCACTCTCCTTACACTCGCATAAAACACCGCCCACTTCCTCAGAGCGCTCATTACGCACCACTCACTCACTCACTCACTCACTCACTCACTCACTCCCTCACTCAAACACTCATGTCTTCCGAACAGCCTATGCTGCCATCCCCACACTACCTCACCTTTTATCCTCCTCCCCAGTGCTCGCTTACCCACACTATCACCCCACACACCTTTCGGTTCCGCCAGCAACAGCACACTCTCTAAAGCCGCCACCACTCCAGCCGCCATCAGCGCCACCACATGCGCTTCCCCTCCCCCCCCACCACCAACACCACCACCATCATCAACATCAGCAGCAGCAGCATCAGGATCAGACCACTTCAGCGCGGATCGGTCTGCAATCACATTCCCCAGAATCTCCGCGGCAATAGCACGCTCTTTGAGAGTCCCTGTGGCGAGGAGGGCGACAAGGGGAGGCACGCCCCCTGCTGCCACGATGCTCTCACACGGCATGCCCACCAGGGATGAGATTTGGAGGAGGAGTGACTCTGCTGCTGCCCTCCCGTCTGCTCTCGCTGCTGGGTCGCTGGCTGTTTCTGCTGCTGCTGCTTGTGGCGGCGGTGGTGGTGGCGGTGGTGTTGCTACCGTAGCTGCTGGCTTTTGACGCGCCTCAAAAGTCGCTGCCGGGTCGCTGGCTGCTTCTACTGCTGCTGTTTGTGGCGGCGGTGTTGCTACTGTAGCTGCTTCTCCCGCCTTTACGCCCTCTCCGCTAGTCTGTGCGTTCTCTTCCCTTAACAGAGTTATGAACGATGGTATGGCGGATGCCTGGACGAGGGGCACGATGGGAGGGAGGGGAGGAGGGAGAGACGAAGGACTAGTGAGTCCACTCAAGAGAGATGAACGATGGTATGGCGGATGCCTGGACGAGGGGGGGGGGATGAGAGAAAGGGGAGGAGGGAGGAGAGAAGAACGGGGGGAAGGGAGGAGGAAGAGGAGGACGGGAACAAGTGGTGATATGGAGGCACAGGCAGGAGGACAGTTGGGCTCAAAGAAACGGAAGGGAGAGCAAGTGTGTGGATTGGAGAATGGATAGGTGGACGATGTCACGACGGAAGATGACGGACGGACGGATGGACGGATGGATGGACGGATGGACGGATGGACGGATGGACGGATGGACGGATGGACGGATGGACGGATGGACGGATGGACGGATGGACGGATGGACGGATGGACGGATGGACGGATGGACGGATGGACGGATGGACGGATGGACGGATGGACGGATGGACGGATGGACGGATGGACGGATGGACGGATGGACGGATGGACGGATGGACGGATGGACGGATGGACGGATGGACGGACGGACGGACGGACGGACGGACGGACGGACGGATGGACGGATGGACGGATGGACGGATGGACGGATGGACGGATGGACGGATGGACGGATGGACGGACGGACGGACGGACGGACGGACGGACGGACGGACGGACGGACGGACGGACGGACGGACGGACGGACGGACGGACGGACGGACGGATGGACGGATGGACGGATGGACGGATGGACGGACGGACGGATGGACGGATGGACGGATGGACGGATGGACGGATGGACGGAAGGACGGATGGACGGATGGACGGACGGACGGACGGACGGACGGACGGACGGACGGATGGACGGATGGACGGATGGACGGATGGACGGATGGACGGATGGATGAAGGCGCACCATTTTGGCAGCTGCTTCTTCATCTGACACCATACGCAGGAGAGCGGAAACCACCTGGGTGCCGATGAAGGCGAGGGTAATGAGACAGGGAACCGTTAATGCAGGATTAGGCAGGGACATGCATGACCGTTGCCAACAGTGTACTACTCGAAGCAAAGCCATCCATCACACGAACAGTGCTGACATTTGGCAGCAGTAAAGTGTTCCCCTCCCTCCCCTCCCCTCCCCTCCCCTCCCCTCCCCTCCCCTCCCCTCCCCTCCCCACCCCTCCCCTCCCCTCCCCTCCCCTCCCCTCCCCTCCCCACCCCTCCCCTCCCCTCCCCTCCCCTCCCCTCCCCTCCCCTCCCCTCCCTACCCCTCCCCTCCCCTCCCCTCCCCTCCCCTCCCCTCCCCTCCCCTCCCCTCCCCTCCCCTCCCCTCCCCACCCCTCCCCTCCCCTCCCCTCCCCTCCCCTCCCCTCCCCTCCCCTCCCCTCCCCACCCCTCCCCTCCCCTCCCCTCCCTACCCCTCCCCTCCCCTCCCCTCCCCACCCCTCCCCTCCCCTCCCCTCCCCTCCCCTCCCCTCCCCACCCCTCCCCTCCCCTCCCCTTGCCCCCACTTAATCTACCGCGGCTCTCCCATCCCCCCAGCGGTACCTTGTCCCGCACGTCCCTGTCGCCCCCCTGTGATGCCAGCAGCGCCACCAGCGCGCCTACCCCCCCACTGCGGATGATAGACAGGCGCACACTTGCACTGGGATGGAGGAAGGGGAGGGGAGAGGGGCGGGGATGGAATGGAGGGAGGGGAGCGGAGGGGAGGGGAGAGAGGGTGAGGGGTGCGGAGGGAAGCGGAGGGGAGGGAAGCAGTGAGTATGAAAGAGCAAGAGAAGAGATGAATGAAGGAGAAACACAGTAATATGAGAAGTTACCATGGAGAAGTTACCATGGAGAACCAAAGGTTGTTAGCTCGAGCACTCTCACTCTCACACTAAGAATCTTACTCTCTCACACTCAGAAACTCACTCTCTCACACTCAGAAATCTCACCATGGGAAGACCACAGACAGCAACCAACCCAGTCATCCACCCATCCACCCAACTACCCACCCACCCACCGACCCAACCCCCCACCCCCTCACCCAACTCTCACCTGACGCTCAGCCTCTCCACAGCGGCGATAGCAGCAGCCCTGACAGCGGCACCGCCGGCGCCCATCCACCGCACCGCGTGCACCACAGCTCCCGCATCCCTCAGTGCGCGCCTGTTGCCCTCGCCCTCACATTCTCACCTGAGGAAGACCTACAAAAACCAACTCTGTCACCCACCCACCCACTTGCCCACCCGTCCGCCCGCCTGACCTCCTGCCCGCCCACCCTTCCTCCCCTTCCTCCCTCCCACCCTCACCTGACACTAAACCTCTCCACCGCCGCAACAGCAGCAGCCCTGACAGCGGCACCACCGGCGCCCATCCACCGCACTGCGTGCACCACAGCTCCCGCATCCCTCAGTGCGCGCCTGTTGTCCTCGCCCGCCCTCGCCAGCTCTGCTGCTGCTGACAGTGCGCGCACTGCAACCTGCTCGTTCTCGAGAGTCATGAGGAGAACGAGACGCGCCACGCCGTCCCACCGGGACATGAGCGTGTAACTCTTACTGGACCAGGCTGGATCTTCTTCTGCTTGTTCCTCCTTTTCCTCCTCCGTCTCCTTCTCCTTTTCATCCTCCTCCTCCTTCTTCTCCCTTTCCTCCCTCTCCTTCTCCCTTTCCACATTTACCCTCGCCTTTTCATCCTCCTCCTTTTCCTTCTCCCACTTCTCCTTGTCCTCCCTACTCTTCCTCTCCTTCTCCAGCAACCCAATCCGAGCCAGGAACTGCTGCCTCGTTCGTCCCTCAAGCTCCCTAATCGCCTCCTCATCCAACCCCTCTCCACCCAGCCCCACCCCCCCTCCCTTCCCTTCTCCCCCCTCCCCCGACCCTCCACCATTGCCCCCCAACGCCAGTCCCAGCAACAGCTTCCCAGCACCAAACGTACTCTCCACAGGAGCTCCCTTCAGCACATCCCCAGCCGCAGCAGCAAGCCGGGGGGGTAGCGACGGCGGCACTCGCGTAACCTTCACCGTCTCCCCTTCACTAGCAAGAGACCGATACGCATCAGCTCCCACCAGCGGGACCAGACATAAGTCGTTTTCGAGAAGGCAGGAGCGGAAGAAGGGGTCCGGAGCGAGGGAGAGGAGGGAGGAGCGGAGGCGGCGCAGGGAGTGCCGGGGCGCCGTGCCGTTGCCAGCGTCGATCGCTGCGAGAAACGCAGCCATTCGGGGCACGGCTTGGTGGTCGATAAGAGAGGGCCAGCATACCCGGTCCTCTACCATCAAGCAGAGGGTTGATAGAATGTGCTCTAGCTCTGGATCGGAGGCGTCTGGGTCGTAGAGAGCGGTTAGGAGCGGTGGGAGGAGGTTCATGGAGGCGAGCTTGGGGCGGAGGGAATGGAGGGAGGCAGCAGAGGAGATGAGAGGGAGGGTTTCGGACCGAACGGATTGGGGGAGGCGTGGGAGGGAGAGCAGCGATGCTGCTTCTTCCACTGCTCCTCCTCGCACCACTGCCTGTAGCCCCTCTGCTGATGCTCCTGCCAGTGCTGCGAGAACACCTACTGCTGCTCTCATCACACTCTCTCGTGGCAAGCGTGGGAGCTCTGATTGAGATTCCGATTGTTGTATTTGTTCAGGTGTTGCTGCTGCCTGTAGCAATGCCTCTAGCTCTCTCACTTGAGCGTCTGTGATACCGAAATCTGTAGTCCCTGCTTCCTCAAACATACCTTCTTCAGATTCCTTAGAACCCCTCCTCTCCTCCTGTGCTTGTTCCTCCATCCCTTCCATCCACCAAGCAGAAGCAGCCGCACCAGCACCGGCACCACCAGCACCACCAGCACCACCAGCACCGGCACCAGCAGCAGCAGCAGAAGCGGTTGCTGGTGTGCGTTGAAGGTCACTGTGCCACTGAGAGGCGCTAGTGTGTAGAAGATTGCCAAGCAGGGCTATGAGAGGGAGAGACGCGTGGGAGACGGAGGAGGAGGGGGAGGAGTCAGCAGCAGCAGCAGCAGCAGCAGCAGCAGCAGTGGTGGAAGAGGGGGATGAGCTTAGCATGAGAGAGAGCAGTTCAGATGCCACTTCCGGCCTTCTCTCAATTTGTTCGTATATGGCACTCACAGCATGCTCACGCTCGTGGCTCGGGTGATCCAGCCCGAGCCTCGCCGCCAGGTCCGACAGAGGCTCGGCAGTATCGTCATCCGGATAATAGGATTGGCTATACAAAGCAAAAGGAGAGGAGAAACCGGTGGAGGGAAGAGAGGAGGAGGAGGAGGGAGACGGCGGAGAGGAGGAAAAGAGCAGGGCCCTGTCTTGCGCGGGAAGCTGGTCCAGGAACTCCGAGGAGGCTTGCGGAGGGAAGGCGGAGGGGAATTGGAAGGGCGATGGGTTGGAGGGGTCTCCTGTGCCAGGTGGTGAATCCCATGGCTTTGAGCAGCGACATGAGAGGGAGAGGCAGATGCAGTGAGTGTGATGGGGAGGGGCGGATGGAGAGAGGGAGAAGGGGAGAATGGGATGGAAAGCGAAGGTGAGAAGGGGTGGAAAGTGAGAGGGAGAGAATGAAACGGGCATGACTCTAACAGTGAGAGAGAGAGAGAGGCAAAGGACCAGTGGAAAAACGGCCCACAGATTATGCGCATTCCCAAAAATGGATTTTTTACCAAATATATTGAGTCAACCCTTCTTACCAAATGCATTCCAAAACCGCCACCGAAAAGACCGCCCGAAAATTCCTCCCCTGCTTCCCCCGTCACATCCGCTCCTTCTCCCCCGAGCCTCACCTCCCCCCCGCCCCCTGCCATGCGCTCTCCGACCTCCTCCGCAATTTCCCCGCCATCCCCCTCCGCAATTTTCCGCGCATCCCCCGTTTCCGAACGCTCCTTTCTAGTCGCGTCACCTGCGCAGTCCTCCACATCCCCCGTTGTTTCGCCCCTCCCATCTGCGCCACCACCTGCGGCGGCGGACGCGGCAGCAAACCCGCCGTTACTCTTGGCGGCTACGCGTCTAACGGAGACTATGCGTCTCCCGCGATTCTTTAGCAGCGGCTGCAGCGAGACGGATCCACGTGGCACGTGGCCGGCCGACGTGCCGAAATCGCAGAGTTGGATCCGACGCGTCGCGACGAAGAGCGACGGCGGGCCGCCTAGCGGGAAACGCCGCGCAGGTACCATGGGGAGCTGCAGCGCTTCGGAGACGAATCGCGCTGGTGGCGCGACTCCAGCGCATGACTCCAAGACCCGCATCGCTAAGGACTCGTCACCACCACGTCGTTACAGGGACTAAGCTCGATATATTTGGAATTCCTGAGAAAGGCTAGCCTCCAAGAGTCGAGCGCATGTGGGTGACCTCTCGACTCAACTGGAGTTCCCAACCCAGGTTCTTGGGGATCCTGCACAGCATGGGGAAAGGATGCGTCACATTTATACGCTTTACAAAAAAAATCGACTGTCCGATTCCGGTGTGGCAGATGATCCTTCCAGAACTGCACAAACATGCCGCAGAACACTTGAAGCTACATAATTGGATCGCACTTCTATTAAATCCCTAAACTATTTCTGGTACAGGTTGAACAGTCAAACAGATTTATACTTTGCCACACTACAATCTACAAGCCCTATCTCATCTTACACTCAGATCCATAATCTACATAATACTTGCATGCATGAAGTGCACGCACACTATCTTCTGTGCTCAAATCCCTAAATACACTTGAATACCACTCCTCACCACCAAGCAGTGACAGATAATTAAGTACCATACTAGGGTGCCAAAGTGTCAACCTGCAAGCAATGCCACACTGCCACGGAAAGCAGCAAACCCAGCAGCAGCAACAATAAACACGAGCGCACAGCAGATCGTGCCACGCTAAGCCACTCACACACACCCAACCCACCAACCGCACCCCTCCACCATCCACACTCCCATGCACCTCCCACAACACAACCACATCTCAAAAACACACACCTACACCCTCACAATCACCGCCTTCACATTCCCCCAAGCACCTCAACCTACGGTAACCAACCAGCCGCCCAAACCCCAAAACCCGCTCAGAAATAGCTAGACTGTTGGTGCAGCAACTCCAGATGACTCAAGATCTTAGCAGCAACGGGCTTGGTCTCATTGGACCCGTGTTGTGTGATCTCAATGAGCGCGCCCTGGGCCTTGGTGGCGTATTCAAACTTGTACTCCTCGAGGCGAAACAGCTTCTCCAGCATCCACACGCCCTTCTCCTTGGCCCTCTCCGTGCCCTCGCTCAGCTGCTGCACCACCCTCCCAAACCCACCTGGTGGACACAAGAGAAATATGCAGAGACGGGCAGAGACCGGCAGGGGAGGCCCGCAGGCAGGGCAGGAAGGAGGGAGGGACAACAGAAGAGAACCGGGGAAGGGATGGGGAGGAGGGTGGGGATGGGGATGGGTAGGGTCTAACACAACAAAACCCATCCACCGCGCAGCAATCCAGACCAGCCTCATGGATGGTCTTCACACATCCAACATGAGCGTTAACAGCGAGCCAACTTTTGAGTCGACTCAAAAGACAACAAACCCTAGCCACCCAACCCACCACAGCACACAGCAATAATCCTGACCAGACTCATGGAAATAATTTTGCCTCCCATCGAAAGAAATTTGTAAGAATTCTCAGAAGTTGAACCCAGACACCCACCCAACCCAGACACCCACCCAACCCAGACACCCACCCAACCCAGACACCCACCCAACCCAGACACCCACCCAACCCAGACACCCACCCAACCCAGACACCCACCCAACCCAGACACCCACCCAACCCAGACACCCACCCAACCCAGACACCCACCCAACCCAGACACCCACCCAACCCAGACACCCACCCAACCCAGACACCCACCCAACCCAGACACCCACCCAACCCAGACACCCACCCAACCCAGACACCCACCCAACCCAGACACCCACCCAACCCAGACACCCACCCAACCCAGACACCCACCCAACCCAGACACCCACCCAACCCAGACACCCACCCAACCCAGACACCCACCCAACCCAGACACCCACCCAACCCAGACACCCACCCAGCCCAGACACCCACCCAACCCAGCACCCAACCCAGCATCCAACCCAGCACCCAACCCAGCATCCAACCCAGCATCCAACCCAGCATCCAACCCAGCATCCAACCCAGCATCCAACCCAGCATCCAACCCAGCACCCAACCCAGCATCCAACCCAGCATCCAAACCAGCATCCAACCCAGCACCCAACCCAGCATCCAACCCAGCACCCAGCAGCAATCCTGACCAGACTCATGGTGACCTGGACGCTGGCCTCCCATTCGCAGTCATTCGAAAGAATTCTCAAAAGTGTACCCAGCCCAACAACACCCAACCCAGCACCCAACGATCCTGACCGGACTCATGGATGATCTTGACGCTGGCCTCCCATCGGCACGAGTCCGCCATGAGTGTCGACAGCGCCGTCAGCGCCGCTTCCGCAGTCAGCGGCTCCTTCTCTCCCATGGCGCCCACCAGCGGATCAATCGCCTCGGCCTCCAACAAACAAAAGGACGTGCGCACCGAGCACGTCCCCCCGTGCAGCACACACTTGGGCTCCTCTGGCGGCTTGAAGCAGCACCCGCCGGACTTGGCCTTGACTGACACGGAGAGTGTGGGGCTGGATTCCGAGAAGTTGCCCAAGCACAGGGCCGCTCCGCGCTTGGCGCCGGCGTTGCCGGTTACCAGGAGGGTTACGAGCTGCGGGATGGCTCCTAGCTCCGCCAGCTGCTGCTGCTGCTTGATGCTGCGGGAGGGGAAATGGGGTGAAAAGACAGGGGGAGAGGGGGAGGTCGGAATGTGTTTCAGCAGTGCGAAGATCAAGGAGCAGAAAAGTGGACGCGAAAGCAGTAAGTCAATGAGATGTTCCCATGAGCCAAGCCGAGGGGTAAGAATCAAGGAAATGGGGGGACACAGAGTGATTGTGTGAAGAGACAAGAAGGTGGCTGGGACTTTTGAGAATTCTCAAAAGTCGCACCAAGAAGCAAGAAGGTGGATGGGAGGATTTCAGAGGGGCCTGGTGTGCTACAGGAGTGACGGAGTGGAGGCAGATAAAGGAGAAAGGCCGGCATAGCAAGTTGAGGGGGGTTTTAGGATGCATGGAGGCGTACTTGCTGGGGAGGGTAAAGCGCACGAGGGCATTGGCAGCTCCCTCCAGAGCCGCGTCCTTGAGCTGTGCGTTGGTACCCACGCCACCCCCCTTCATGCCCAGCATCGTCACCAGCGTCTGCACCACATCCGCCTGCAGGGGAGCGGAGAAACCGCGAAAGGGGAAGAGGGGGAGGGTGTGGGGGAGAGGGGACGAGGGTGTTGAGGCGCCTCAGAACCCGTCTCCCTTCATGCCAGCATTGTCACCAGCCTCTGCACCACATCCGCCTGCAGGGAGGAGCGCGCGCCAAGGGGGAGGAAGCGCGGGAGGGGGGAGGAGGGGGGGGGGGGGGGGGGTGTTTGGGGGAAGGGGGAGAGATAGAGAATCTCAAGGCGCCTCAGAAAACGTTCCTCGAACTGCGAGCTTCATGTAGGGAGGATTCCGGCAGAGACTCAAGAGCTGAGCTGTGTGTTGGTGGCCACCTACCCGACCAGCCTGGTTCAGCTTGGCGTCACTCGGCGACAGCGCAGCGATGAGCAAGGCAGCAATCGGGCGTCTAAATTCAAGGCCGCTAAAAAACAGCCCACCAACCTAACCGCCCACTCACCTGCACGAAAGCCTGGTTGAGGTTGGCGTCACTAGGCGGCAGCGCGGCAATGAGCGAGGCAGCAGCGGCGCGGTTGTCAAACGAGTCCTTGTCCTGCAGCATGGCGATGATGGCCTTCAGCGCCGCCGCCTGGGAAGTAGCTCCCCCCTAGCCCCCCACCTGCCCACCCACCTGCACGAGAGCCTGGTTGAGCTTGGCGTCACTGGGAGGCAGAGCGGCAATGAGAGAAGAAGCAGCAGCGCGGTTGTCAAACGAGTCCTTGTCCTGCAGCATGGCGATGATGGCCTTGAGCGGCGCCGCCTGGTTCTCCATGAGGCTGTCTGCCACGCTCTTGCCCGCCTCCGCCTCCTTTGACAGCTCCCTCAACACCCGCGCTGCCAGGGGGCGCGTTGCTGGCCCCTGGTGGGTGGGAGCGGGGTTGGCCGAAGGAGGAAAGGGAGAGGTTCAGAAGGGGAGCAGAGAGCGGTGGCGGGAGGGAATGGGGCAGCACAGTTATCGGCTGTGGCCTGGTTCTCCATGAGGCTGTCTGCCACGCTCTTGCCCGCCTCCGCCTCCTTTGATAACTCCCTCAGCACTCGCGCTGCTAGGGGACGCGTTGCTGGCCCCTGGTGGGTGGGAGGGGGTGGGAGCGAGGGGGGGAGGGCGAGGGGGAAAGGGCGGGGGAAAGGGTAGGGGACGGAAAAGGGGCAGGGAGCGGGGAGGGGTGGGGAGGAGAGGCTCGGAAGGGGAGCAGAGAGCGGTGCGCAGGAGGGAATGGGGCAGCACAGTTATCGGCTGTGGTCTGAAAAGAAAAGGGGCAGGAAGGCGAGGGGGAGGGAAAGGGAAGCAGAGCAGCAGCAGCAGCAGCAGCAGCAGCAGCAGCAGCAGCAGCAGCGGGGAGCAGCAAGCGAGCACTGACCCCTTCAGAGCCGTCAATGAAGGGGATGAGGACGTCCACAGCTCCACCCACTATCATGCGGTTGCGCACTTCCACAGACTGCGGTACCGACGCCATGCCCAGCAGCGCCTTCAGTAGATTCACCTGCGAGCACATGCACATGCACACATGAATGCGTGTGTGCCCACATAGACATGCACACACGCACACACACACACGTGCACGCGTGCACATGCCATGGTGCATAAGGAGGTGGGTGAGTGGCAGGGCACGAGGGAGCAGAACAGACCGATAAAGGGACAACCATAAGGGATACACGGATACGCCCCCATCGCCCAAGCTGTTGCACCTTAGAAAGGCCAAGTGTGGAGTCTGGAAATAACACAACCCCTCACAAAAAATACAGCTGTCTGGCTCATACACTCCCAGCCCCACCTGAACATTCAGCCCAGAGAGAGGATCACAAGCGAGAGCAGCTGGACTATTCGCCTTCCAAGGCGCCTCTACGGTGGCCCACCTGAATGTTCGGCCCAGCGAGGTTCATAAGCGAGAGCAGCTGGAAGATCGTCTCCTCGGACTCCAGAATCGCCCCATTGGCATCAATCCTCGTCTCCGCCTGCGCGCCCGCCGCCA